CCACTCCCTACGAACCTTGGTGGTGCCAGAGGGCCAGAGCCCCCACACTTCAGCACCCGAGGCTGACCTGGGGACACCTTCCACGCCCAGATACCTGGCAGCCGGCCTTCCCCACCACCCTTGGCATAAAGCCCTACTTTGTCTTGGGTCCCACTAGTTTGCAGAAACCTGCTCTTCCTCCTTTTTCTCTTCCAGAGCCCACCTCCCACACGGGCCAACCCCCCTCACGCCCCTACCCCCAGCTTGTCTTAAATCTAAACCACAGTGTGTAGTTTACAAAACACCTTCTCCAAGACTCAGCACCCCATGGCCCATCCTTTCTTTTTATTGTGTAAAGCTGAGAAAGCTGAGCCTAGGGGAAGTGACGTGCCCCGAGTCCGGTGACCGGGCTGGTGTCCACACAAGCTGCTTCCTCCGCTCCCTGCCCCAGTCCCTCTCCCAGCGCTGGGGCCACGTAATGACAGGGTGGAGCACAGCCTCCGAGTGAGGACTAAGTGGCTCCCTTGGCAGTGGGTACTTTGAAAACCTCTGGGTTTGGAGAATATGAAGTCATTTCTTTGCCAGACAGGAAAGGAGCTATTTTTACAGAATCAGTATGAAGCTTGCAGAGCAGATCCCTGAGAGCAGTAACACCATAGCGACTGACTACAAAGCCCGGCTCCCTACCCAAGGAGAGCACGTGTTTTTACAGTCTGTATTTTTTTTAGAGCAGTTTTAGGTTCTCAGTAAAATTGAGGGGAAGGGACAGAGATTTCCCATAGACCCCTTGCTCTACACATACACAGCGTCCCCCCCCGCCACCAACAGCAGCCCCACCAGAGAGGTACCTTGGTGGATAAACCTACCTTGATTCATCATTATCACCCCCAGTCCATACTTTACAGGAGGGTTCACTCTTGGGGTCATATATTGTATGGACTGGGACAAATGTATAATGACATGTGGCACCTTGACAGTTGCAGACAGAGTGGTTCCACTGCCCTGAAAATCCTCTCCAGAGAGCCCATTTTTAGTTTATCATTTTTAAAACCTATATGATGCAACCCCCCACAGATGATACAGCTTTAAGCTCAAGGAGTAGAAGCACTGCACTTGGAAACCAGTCAGCCACAAAGGTTAAACAGTGTAATAACATTTGTCGGTTCGGAAAGTAGTGTGAGCCACACGGCTCTAGGTAGATAGAACTTGCCAAAGCCACACCTTTGCTGGTCTCTTCCCTCTTGTGTTCTTTCTTTCCACTCACGTCTATATAGCCCACACTCGGAGGCAGCCCATACACAAGCCCTGCTTTCCAAGGGATTCAAAGGTGTAATGATAAAGCCCAGGTATCCCCGGGCCTTCGGGGGCACCTGGATGGCTCAGTTGGTTAAGCATCCAACTCTTGATTTCAGCTCATGTCATGATTTCAGGGTCCTGGGATCAAGCCCCACATGGGGCTCCACACTCAGCAGGGAGTCTGCCTGAGATTCTCTCTCTCCCTCTGCCCCTCCCCCCCACAAGTGCTCTCTCTTTCTCTCTCTCACTCTCTCTAATAAAATCTTTAAAAAAAAAAAAAAAAAGAATTCCAGGTTCCCTAATCCATCTGAGATAGGCTTGGGTGCTTTAGACCCATGGTGCTCAACCTGGCTGCGCATCAGAACCACCTGGGCAGCCAGGCCTGGCTTCACAGGCCTGTGACCAGTGTCATCACCCCAGACCCCAGGTTGAGAGGGGCCCACACTTGGTTTAACACCCTGCTGTCACAGTCTTGAAATCCTGCGTAATTTTTGAACAAGAAGTCCTGCAGTTTCATTTTGTACCTGGTCTGACCCACAAATTACGTCGCTGATCCTGCTTCTACTCAGGGTGCACCCAGACAAGCGAATCGGAATTCCTAGAGGTGGGACCCAGGCCTCTGTACTTTGTACAAAGTACACCTGCTCCCCAGGGTTCTGCAGGGGGTGGCCAACTTTGGGAACCACTGGCATAGAAGAGAAGTCTTTAACTGGGGCGTTCCTGTGTGTGTTGTAGGGGACATCAGATTCACCTGGGACACTTTCCCCAAATCCACACACTGATGTAGAAATTGATGAAGATTCCGATTCCTAAATATTCTGACCCCCCCGCCTGCCAGGCAGGAAGTTTCAATGACTGTGAGATCTATGAGCTAGGCCCACTGTGTTTGCAGTTCCCTACATGTGAGTTGCAGTGACAGTGACAACCCATGAACTGTTAGGACCTGCACAGCTGGGGCATGGTGGTCCCTGGATTGTGACTTCATAGCCACCCTGCTGAGCAGTATGGCAGGGGGCAAAGTGTGGGGCCCGGACAGCAATCCTGGCTCTGACTCGCAGCTGGAGGGTTTGGGGCGTGTTTTCTTTGTGCCCCAGTTTCCTTACTAGTAAAATGAACATAATAACACCCAACTCGCGAGGGTGCTGTGAGGATTAAAGGAGATAAGATATGCAAAGAGCCTAGCACATTGCCTGGCACCTAGTAGGTGGTCAATAGATACTGGTGTCCTATCTCCTCCAAGAAGAAATATTACTGCACCTTTCCCTTCAACCACTGTCTTTTTACTAAAGAAAATATAACTCATTATTATAGCAACAAGGAAGAAATGCTAACCAATATTCTTCAGTTAGTATACTTATCAAATATGCAATCTGTATTCATTCAGCTCATGGTTCCTGAATACTTGCTAGGTCAAGGTGTCAGAAGGATGGATTTTGTATACACACACACAGATTACAGAGCATACATATACATACACATATATATGCATACATATAGACGCATGTATGCATGTATACAAATATATACACATGCATATACACACATACTATACACAAGCATATATACATATACATACACACGCATATGTGACAGGTCCCTGTTGTGCAGTACTTTTAAAAAAAATTTACGCAGTCGAACAACGAAAGTAATGCTTATTATAACAATTCAAACAATATAAAAGAAATTAGATTAAGTTGACTGACTTTACTTCCCCACTCCTATTCCCACCCTTGTAAAGCAACCATTTTTAAAAAGAATTTGAAGTTATAAGTAAATTTTATGTGGATTTTTCCCATGGTTTTTCTTTTGCATCCACGCACACACACTCTCCACTTGGGTACATACTGTGTTCACATTCCGTAGCTTTCTTTCCTTTTCTTCTTCATTGAACAATACAATGCGGACATCTTTTGAAGTCCGGACGCATGACTCATCTACTAGTTTTCAGTAGCTCATGGCGTTCCCCAGGATGGATGGTCATTTTCCAGCCATCCCCCTGGCTTTGGGCATACAGTGTTTTGCTATAGAAGAAGATGGTGCGGTAACAGTCTTTTAAAAACATTTAAATACTGGTACTTCTACTTTTTTCGGATAGAGCAGGGATAGAGTGTCCAGCAGGTTACAACCCAAGAGCAGACAAAGCAGAAGCCAAACAGGTAACAATAAATACGCCCCCCCACCCCTTTGACGGGCATGCCTGCCCCATACCAGGCACCACAGTGGGCCCTACAAGATAAGAACATCAACGAAACTCCATCTGACTTCAAGCAGTTCAGCAAAGCAGCATTTGGTTCATGTCAAAACTGGAGTCACACGTGATCTATGTCCTCAGATCCACATTGAGATCATCCTAATGGTGCTTGTGCCAACCTCTACTCTGGCCCTAGCTTCCGACAAATCTCACGGACTCTGGAGCAATTTTGCGTGAAGAGCCCTTTCCTGCAGCTTCCTTCCAATGACTTCTGCCGCAGAAAACAAAGGGAACTCCCAGCCAAATCACAGAGGCGATGTTAACTTGCTTTTCTCATTCGGCCAGTCGTTGATCTGCTCACAGTTTGCTCCATCATTTTCTTCCAGAAGCTGAAGGTGAAAGCGAAGGTCCCCCCAGCAGAAAGCCACCCAGGCCCCGTCTCCCATCAGGCCTTCACCACATGTCAGTGATGCACTTACAAGTAGACCCTAAACTGCCTCACGTGAAAGAACTGGCAGTTACGAAGCCAAACAAAATCGTAGAACAACTCTTGAAAGCACACTTAACAGGATTCAACAGATTTTGTAAAGCAGCTATGAAATAGTGCCACCAGAATTGTTTTTACTCTGGGTGATGTTCCCGCACAAATGTTGAAATGCTGTGGCACCCACGGAGGTGTGCCGCTCGCGTTCGCTCCGAGAAACCACCTCCTGTTCAGCTGCCGGGTGTGCAGGGCGCCGCCAGCCTCCAGCTGCCCTGCCTTCAGGACCTGCCTCAGTTTCCCGGCAGCCCTGGCCGTGACTGAGCGTGGCGGGAGGCTGGAGCCTGGGCCTTCCTGGCATGGGTGCTCTGTACTCCAAAGCGGCCCAGGGGTGGAGAAAACGGGCAGGGCTGCTTCAGCCAGGGCTGCGTGGCGATCTGGAGCTCTCCTTATCCATGCCTGCTTCCTCCTTTCTTTTCATAAGGTCAGGTCTGCATCGTGATCTGGGACTCTGGCCAATCCTGCTTCCCCTCCTTGTATCCTGCACGGTGTCCACTAACTTCCCTTCCTGACTGCTTTCTGGGCAACCCAGTAGACGCAGAAACTTTCGGGGCAGTGTAGGAACATGAACATTATCCATCTCATTCAGAGCACTGAAGAACCTGAACATATCCCCTAGCCCCTGGATGTTCTTGCGCCAGGCTCTGCTAAAAATGAATTATGGTCTGCCAAAGTGACACTGACCGTTTCATTTTAATTATTCAGCTGGGACACAAATGAAAAACCAAACGTGAGGAAAAACAAACTTATATAGACTCTGAAATTCCACTTTAGTTACCCCCAACGATTTCGAAGAACTGAGGCAAGGGACGTATTTTCATATAACCTCTGTGTTTGCCGTGAACTGATCGGGGCCGGGACACCGTAGTTTCAATGAGAGAACACTGTCTCCATCTCTGCCACTTTCACCACAATTCCACTCTGAGCACTATTGTGCCCTGGTGGTTCCGCAGACTGAGAAAGAAATGGGTAACGATTGCATTCTTGTTGCAGGGGAGTTTGGAGAGGTGTACAAGGGGCGTCTGAAACTTCCGGGCAAGAGGGAAATCTATGTGGCCATCAAGACGCTGAAGGCCGGGTACTCCGAGAAGCAGCGTCGGGACTTCCTGAGCGAGGCCAGCATCATGGGCCAGTTTGACCATCCCAACATCATCCGCCTGGAAGGCGTGGTCACCAAGAGTCGGCCCGTCATGATCATCACGGAGTTCATGGAGAACGGCGCTTTGGATTCTTTCCTCAGGGTAAGAGCGGCTCGGGGGCGTGGGTGACGTTAGCAGTGTGGGATGGATGCTGGGGAGGAGTGTCTGCATGAGGCTAACCTGCCACTTAGGAATGGTAGCGAGGTTGACAGATTTGTTTCTGAAAGGATAGAACAAAGAGGAGCCTGTGGACCCCTCGGTAGGAGGATAGCGTGGAGTGGGGCCTCGATAAATGCTCGTTGGATGAATACGAATGAATAGAGGCGGGTGACGAATAGCCATCGGCATCTGCATGAATCACGGAGATTGAGGAGACTCTCAGCAGCTACACTGGCCCGTGTGATTCCTGCAGACGCCAGTGGCCATCTCTGTCTTTCCCCAGCACAGCCAGCCCAGCCTGCTCCCTGCATTTGCAGCTCAGAGATAAAACAGGCCACCCTTTCTGATACCCAGCTCCCCCACCCTCGGAGGAGGTGCTCCTGGGCAGGAGAGGAAGAGACAATGTCACAAGCATTCACAGGTCTTTTCTGTGACTCCAAACCAACCTGCGGCAGAGGTGGGGGGGGGGTGCATCGAGGCCTATGGCTGGGAGATCTGTAAATGGTCATTGTCAAACATGCTCCCGTGGAACCACGCCGGGACAGCTTGCCTCTCTGTGGGACATCACAGAGTGACTCAGAGTGGGGGTGGGTGAGCACAGCCATGATGCCAGTGTCTGGGGAGTCAGCTGGCAGAGCACAGGCCGGCCAGCAAGTCCTGCCTTGGACCCAAGCCTCAGATGGGAACTGGGGGGAGGTGGGGGGCCTGAGAGCAGAGGGTGTGCGGGCAGCATCACAATGGGGCAAGGTCTCCTTAGCAAGGACTTCAGGGTAATACCAAGTGGCAGGCTATGCTTGTCACCAAAGCTACCAAACAGTAGCTGTGGCTGCAGATCAAAGGATCATTCAGATACTTGGTCTTGAAATATTCATGGGGCCACTGCTGTGGTCACGCCTTCTACTGGGTTCTGGGCCTATAGACATGAAAGCGACATTGTTCTAATGCTAAGTAAGAAATCACCCAAGATTTCAGTGGCTCACCACAATTTATTTTGTTCATGAATCTGCAATCTGCGCTCGTTGGGGACATCTCTGTTCCATGTGGTGTCAGCTGGGGCACTTCAAGATCTGGGGCCTGGAATCATCCAAAGACTCACTCACTCATCAGTCTGGCAGCTGATGCTGGGTATCAGCTGGCCTGTCTCCAGGTGGCCTGCATGGGCTTCCTCACAGCAAGCTGGGTCCCAAGAACAAATGTCTCACGAGAAAAAGGCAGAAGCTGGACCACTCTTGTAACTTAGCTTCAAGTCCCACAGTACCCTTTGACCACTGCGAGGGGCTGCCCAGATTCAAGGGGGGGAAATGGGCCCCCCATTTTGATGGGGGGCAATTACATGATGTCGTCTTATGCATAAGCAATGGGAGGTCCTGTTGTGCCCATCTTAGAGACTACAACCTGCCACAGCGGTCCCTTCTCTGAGGACCTGAGTGCCCAAAGCGTCCAGCAATCATCTGCCCAGATTCTTTATGTTTCCACGTGTGGTGTGAAGATGTATGGTGAGCCAAGAAGAACTGAAATCTTCCTGGGGGAGCCAGGGAAGGCTTTAAAGAGGAGGGAAAATTATCTGATACTGGAGAATGAGGCACTCGCCAGGCAGGCCGGGGAGAAGGCAGGTACGATGGAACAATTGAGCAGTGTGTTCAAAGGCTAGAGCCAGCATGGCCTATCTGGTAGTCTTTCAGCAGCTGTGTGGTGGCTCCAAAGCTCAGACTCAGGGCCGAGGGGCTGCCGTGTGGAAGGGTAGCTCGGGCGCTTGTCTAGAAGCTGCATTTGCACAGACTGGCTACTTCAGCAGGGCAAGCACACGCTTTTACCTCCTCTGCGTTTTTAGGCAGTAGCGGCTAATTTTTGGTGGGGGGCATGGGATGACAACGGATGGGACTGACGTACGTAGCCTAGTATGGCCTCTTTGAAGGTACGGCTTATGCCCTTTATTTTAAAACCCCCGGTACCTAACACAGGGAGCACCTGGTAAGTGCTGGTTGAGTGAAAAACATAAAAAGCCATTTCTGGCACCAAAGTGTTTGGGAATGGCGGGAGAAATAGTCATCCTGAGTGTACATGGTCTCCCCTTCTTATAGCCAGACCCCTCACGTCAGAGTGGGATAAAGACTGTGCTTTCCTGGGGGCATTCATTCGTGATCAGAGATCTCATGAAGACAGCCAAATAAAAGTGAATAGAAGACAATGTTAGGAGAAAAAGCATTTTCTGGAACCAGCCTCCAGACCTTTTTAGGAGCCATTTATTTCCTACGAGTCACCTGATTGTACTTCACAGAGTCGCAACATGATTTGAGGACTGTGATCAGACTTTCTCCCCTGGAACATACAAGCGAACGAGGAGATTCATTCTCGGGAGCCTGTAGAAAATCAAAACCCCACACGGATGCTCCACACAGGGCTCTTTCCGCGTGGGGCCCAGGACATGGGGGCATGCTGGACACCAGTATTTTTCATGATGATGAGGCCCAGGTGGTGGGAGAAGAGCCAGGGGCAAGTGAGGAACACAGGGCAACAGAGGATAAGGGATGGCAAGGGAGGAACGGCCAGAGCAGGCAGCACCAGGAGGAGAGGGGAAATGAAGCGTTTCTGACTCCTCGCACAGCATGGAGGCAGGTAATCTATAAATCTAATTTCAGCCTTACTACCAAACCCTGGAGCAGAGCAACATTAATTGATGTATCTGCTGCTGGGTAAAATTGAAAAGTAGGTCATCAGTGCAGTTCTGCAGGGCTCATCTTCTGGGAAGTAGTATAATTTTAGGATCACCATTCAGAGAAGAAAGGAAAAGAGTTAGTCCTCAATTTGTGCAACTGCCTCCCTCCCCCCACCACTACCAAACTGGTCATGATGGTTTACAATAAGTCTGAGAGGCTGTGGGCATCGGGGATCCAGTGAGCACATTGGACATGGCTTCTCACAGCCCACTTACTGCTCCTCTCCCATTGCAGGATGTAGAATCCTTCACCTTCTGGAAGGATTAGAAGCACCATTATTTTTTATTTTCTTTTTATTCTTATGTTAATCCCCATACATTACATCATTAGTTCTAGATGAAGTGTTCCATGATTCATTGTTCGTGCACAACACCCAGTGCTCCAT